TTATTGATAACATAGCAAATAAACGATCATTCTCCTTGCAAATGCTTGGAACACCTAAGTTTGATGAAAAACTAACACTTACGTACGAGTAAAAAAAGCTATACATCCAAAAGATGGATCTATCTTTGACTTCATGATTCGTCCACCCAATGATGAATCAGAAGTCATTGAAAATAGTCCTCTCTTAGCCGTTCCAGAGTTAGAAAGCATATGTTATACTAGTATGGGCGTTAATGCAACAGAAGTTGAATTAGAATTGGTTAAGAAATTACTCAGAGAAGTTAGTATCAAAGGGTTTGACCTTTCATTTCTGTTAGATGATTCTCCTGACATCTTTTACCTCAAACGTATAGTCTCATCATATTATTCATTATGTGACCAGGAACATACTAGTAAAAATGCATATATCAGATGATATAAAAAATTTTATAGTTTTCACTGCTACCATGAAAACCAGGAAACGTCACCCAAGGAAAGAAAGCTTTTAATAAAACTTGCTCCTAATGGGACAGCTTTGAGCTGAGAAAAAAACCTTCTGGCTCCAGTAAGATTAAAGCAATCTAGAATTTCAAACTCAAATGATCGTTTTGTATGGTGGAATTTAATACGTATATGTACTTCGGGTAAGAAATTCTCTTATACTGAAGTTTATGAAGCTATTTAGGTAACAATTGCCCATATTCCAAAAGATAAACCAATATAGTTATTAAAATATAAAGATTCAAAAAATGGGCTTTATTTTGGTATAGGATCTAAGCTAAAGATTGCTAAGTTTGAGATTAAAATAAGTGAATATGAGGGTGAAGTGGTAAAGTTAAAATCATTAATAGACCAGGCAGTTATTAAAGGTTTAATAGTTTACGAAGATTTTGATTTCCTTTCATATCCCATAAACGTTCCTCAACCGGCTACGGATTTCTTTAACCTTTTCCTAGGATTTTTTGCTAAGCCAGCGCCAAAAATTAATAAAGAAATTATGGATCTGATTCTCTGGCATGTAAAAAACGTAATCTGTAGTGGGATGAAAGGTTTAACGAATATATTTGGAACTGGTGAGCATATTTAGTGCAGAAGTCAGAGAAGAAGCCCCGGACTATCTTAGTTCTTAAATCAACATTTCAACAGTACGGGAAAAATATCATTACTGATTTTATTGGTGACAAAGTCTTGGGGTCACATCTCCATTTCGCAACGTCAGATTTGGAAAAAATTCTCGAACGATTTAATGGTGCTATTCAAGCTTGAAAGCTTATTGTTATGAATGAGACTGGAATGTCTAGTGAGGAATGACATAGATTTAATGGGCATCTCAAATCACTTATAACAGAACAAATGGTAGCTATAGAACACAAAGGTCTCAAAACTATACGAATAAATGATTATGCTGGGTATATGGTTACAAGCAATTAGGATGCATCACTCAAAATAGACATAGGCGATTCTCATATAATCTGTTTTGATGTCTCTACATGCTGTAGAGGTAATATACCATATTTCGACCAGCTAGGAGATATTCTAGACCATTCTAATGTACTGGAAGTAGTAATGTCATACCTTCTTAGTCGTAACTTAACAAATTGGAAAAATTCTTGCAACTAAAAATGAAGATAGAAACAATGCAAAAGCAACTTCCTAATCCTATTTGATTTATAATAGATTATATTTCATCTTGGCCTGAAAATCATATTAGCAGGTTTAGCTGTAAAAAAGTATACCAGGATTATCTAGAATGGTGCGGATGTAATAGAGTAAAGCCATTAGCTAGTAAGGTCGCTGGAAAGAAAATTTCACTAATTAGTATTGATCGAACATGATCGCGAGATAATGGAGTAAGAGTATATCAGTATATTTTCGACCACCCAAAAATCATAGCCAAGCTCTGTGAATCTGGCCTAGGTGATATGGAAGAATTTTCTGATATACCTCAACCTGACTTATCTGAAAATGAGATTACAGACATACCTATATTTAATGTACCAGAAATTATTCCCCAAAAATAATCCTACCTCAGCCAGAAAAGAATACGTTTCCACATAGTACTAGTAAAGATAAGAAGGTGGATAAGCAGGGTGATTTGACTCAAGACCTTTTCGACTATGCGACAAAATAAGCTCCAGTCGCCTCAACATCTGAGATATTTAGCACATCTGAAATTTCTAAAATACCTGAGCCTGTAATCGATGAACCTGAGACTAGTAAGCTTTCCGAATCCATAGTTGTGGAACTTAAACCTGATTCTTCCAAGCCTAATGAAGTATCATCTGCTATACTTCTGTCCAGAGCTCAGTGAGAAGAGCACTCAGAAAAAAGGCAATTGAACTAAGTGAGAATCCAGACATTTTCACGACCATTACTGAAAAAGACAGGCTCAATTCCAAAGGATTCCAGAATAGGATGAAAACTGACTCTCAGATGTATGCTTGGGCTATAGAAACAAAAGATGATCCCAAAGAATATATGGATATGAAAGTACAGGAAAGATTGATAGGAGAAGAAATAATCTGTCATAGACTTGAGGATAAGGGAGTTACATCTTCCTGGCTTGACACTGACGAGGAATGGCAAAAAAATATAAGCATACTCCAGAAAAATGGTATGTTTTGATAAAGAGCGAATAAGAAGCCAATTTAGCCGAAGGTGTTGTGCATAATTAAGGTGTTTGGATAAGAGGATCTATTTCTTCTTTACAACTAGACAATATAAATTCTAAATTATTATTATATTTTTTCGCTGATTCCATCTACTCGCAATTTTAAAATTGATATAAAACTTTTCAGTCAGAGCGAATGGTCTTATAGAGAACCTGTGTAGGTTATGATATTATTTTTTCGCTCTTCCAATCCTCCAATAGCTTTTACTGACCATGATGTAGTGAATTATCAGAATATTTTTTTCAAATTGAACCTTTTCCTGCGTAGTATAACCTAATAGTTAAACATAATCTAATAATTACTTTATAGAATATATTCACATTATCATGTCCACAATTGTAACAATGTATGTTGCAGAGCACAAACTCAGTAAAGATATAAGTAATAAAGAACTTAGCCAGCATGCCTCAGCATTATTCGAGATTTTGACAGATAAACTAAAAGAGATAAGGGTCGACAGCATTTTCAAAAAGGGTATAGTTTTAGTAAAGAGCAGGCGTTTATACTAGTTACTGATCAAAGAATTTGTCGAAGTAGAAATCAAGTAGCCCCCAAAGAAGGAGAGGGTGAAGCAGGAAAAGTTAATATATGCCAAGTATCCGACATCATCCCAGATGGAGAAACTGTCGAAATGATAGCTCAGCGAATTACTCAGAATAATCTTAGCGAAAAGAAGTAGTATCTATGACTAAAGCCTTAGTTGAATTTGCTTCTAATTTTAGCGCTAGTTCATCCCGAATCTCTAGGCTTCAAAGTGAGTTGCGAAATCTTGAAGCCTCCGAAAAAATTGTCTCAGCTACATTGATTCCAAAGATAACCTGTTCATCTAATAAAATTCAAAAGGAGCGTAGAGAGCAACGTGAAAATGAAGGGATCGATTTTCCTGACCACTTCTCGCTAGAATCAGTTAAAGAAAGATTGAATGGGTATGACGTGTCTAACACATCTGATGTGCAAGCCCTAGCCGATGTAATGATCATTCTTTGCATCCATCCCGCTGAAATTAAAAACTTGGACTTTCTAATAGAAGTGTAACTGGATATTCAAAAAACTGAGATCAGCAGGATAATTCTCGAATGTTTAGATCATTAGAAAGAGATGAAAAGCGGGCTAATCTTCTCCTTACTTGGATTCATGATGCAATTTCTTTTGAACAGTTGAGGGATCCAGAAGTACGAGGAGTTAAATGGTTTAATACATTTCTGAAAAAAGATAGATTTCTTCTTAAAACTGGTAAACCACTCCTCCCTAGCTATTTACGTAAATTAGAAGCAGTATTTGCAATCATTTCAAATGGTACGAAGAATTTATCAGAGGCTATAACTATTGACAGTTAAGCCCTTCGACATTCACCAGACAACCATGCCTCTCCAGCGCAAAACTATACTATAGTAAATTATCAAAAAAAAGGACAATCTTATGATCAGGCAAAGGCAATCAAGCTTTTCGATAAAAACTAATTACATAAAGGTTAAAGGGGTTTCTATGAAACCATAGGATATTATTTATTAATTTTATTTTTTCGCTCAAGACAAGATATATCATACATAAAATATCACAAAAATGGTAACCAATCAAAATCATTCATTTGATAGTATATCTAACGAATAGGAAGTTATCAGACATACGAAGAACTTAGCCCGGATATTTGGATTAAACGAGCAAAATGCAAAAGTGTATAATGTGCTTTCCGGTGAAAATAAAGCGCTAAAGAAACAGTTAGAAGAATATAATCCCCAACATAACACTTTAGAGAGGAGAGTAAAAAGACTGGAAAGAGATGTAAAGAGCCTGAATACTGAATTAGAAATTCTAAAGGATTGTGCAGATACAGACACTGTGATCGACTTAATACAAGAAATTGTCCTCTTACTGGTTAGAGAAAAAAGCCTAATAAAGAATAATCCTTTTTCCTATTTGTCTGAGTCTTCTGAAGAATCTGATTTGGCTGGGATAATTGTGCAAATAAATGGAAAGAAAATGCTAATTCATCATAAGCAACGAAGGAAAGCGTGACTAAGAAAGGTTAAGCTGTTAGTAGTTTAAAGTAGGCCGAGTCAGTTAAAAGTTCGTAATGAATGCTTTACAAGTGCTTGGGTTATATAACATAGTAGAAAGGCTTAGTCAGAATAAGTGATCGCATAATTTTTTTGCTGATTAAATATAAAATATAAAATACAATACTTAAAATGACTTATATAGAATGTAAAGTTTAGCATTTTTAAGGAGATGATGATATTGATCTAAAAAGCAATAAAAGCAGAATGTAGATATTATATAGTCAAGGCATTGATAGACACATTATCTAGAGTAAATTCTATTAGAAGATGCTTGGTCGATAAGCTCAAAATGGAGTACACTAAATATAAGAAAAACAGGTTGGAATGTCTGGATTTATCTTTCCAATATGAGGGAAAAGATAGACTAGTATCTACTAATGGTGACAATATTTTTAATGATTTTGAAGTTACTGAAAAGTCAAAAGCGGACCTTATATTAGATTACTATGGTTATGGCTTCGTGAAGCAAAAATAGATATGAAAAAACAAGGATTAACAATCTATGGTGATTTTGTACCATTTTGCGAGGAGACAGACTCATCCGAGTCTAAAGAAACTAATGGTTCCAAATATGCGAGTCTGAAGCAGTGATCGCGTAATTATATTTTTCATTTGAAGATATAACATACAATACAGATCATTAATGATGCATACAAGTGTTTTTAATATAGCAGAATTATTAGAACAAGTTTTATATTTCCTAGCGGTAGATAAATTCCTCTACTCCACTCTATTTGTATCCCGATTATGGTACAGATGCGGTGCTCCTATTGCATCGAGTTAAAGGGAAACAATGTGAAGGATAAATTTTGATTAGAAAGATTTATGAAATTAGTACCTGGAAGAGGAAGAAAACCAGTTTATAGCTCGAAACTAACCCATCTTAAAATAACACACTATTAGGGTTCCACAAAATCAAATTAAATCAAATCAAATATTTGACGAATCAAATCAAATCAAATCAAATCAAATCAAATCAAATCAAATATTTGATAAATCAAATCAAATCAAATCAACCAAACTGAATAAAAAATGATTAAATATATATATATATATTTTTAAGACGTGGTGAAACATTTAAATATAAATTAAAGAAAATCACAAAATGGGTACATAAAGTAGAAAATAAAGTAAATGCTACTTAGCCTTCGTCAAAGGCATATTGTCACCTCCAACCAAACCAACCGGTCATTCAATTCAAAAAAATTAATTAATTCATATAATAAAAATTTTTTTAGTTAAATTTTTTTATATTTTTATTTTTTATATTTAATAACATTTACACAATTGTAACTTTATATTTTTTTTCAAAAAGAAAAGGTACTATTATTCCAATACTCTTTTTATTATTAACTATTATTATTTCTCAAATTATACAAAAAATTTATACATAAAAAAAAAATTAAAACATATCAGACTTTAGCATCCTTTTAAGACACATTGTCACATGAATTGTATCACTTTCAAGTCTATTATATTCTGGTGTAATTACATTGCCACTTTGACTAAATAATCATTCTACAGGCGCACTAGTAGATGGTATTGATAAATAATCACACGCTATCATAGATAATGTTAGATAATTAATTTTGTGATCTTTCCACCATTCCAATACATTTATAGTTCTTAGTTCTGGTGAACTATCAAGATAATTAAATAATTCATCATGTTTATTATTATTTTGAAAGCGTTTAGGAATAGAAAATAAAGAATCTTCATCATTGCTATCCTTATTATCATCAAAAACAGCAGGTATCGAAGTTGGAAAGTAAATAGAATGATACTTATCAAATTTACCTACAAATCTAATTTTAATAATAAAAATT